GGTAATTTAGCCATTTAAATCAGCTGTGTTGGATCAAGGACATCTGCAGGACACCGGTCCTTGAGGCCTGGAGTTGCCTACCCCTGGCTAAAACCAAAGCCTCTTTGCTTGCCTTTCAGATTTGGGGAGTGTAATCATAGATGCATCACTGTGACGAGAGACCTCAAAGTCTGTGATGAAATGAACTTTTCTTAACTTTGAAGTGAATGACTGAAGCAACTACCAATCCAAATTCAATTTTCAATTTAATTGTATTTATATAGCACCAAATCACAACAGCCACCTCAAGGTGCTTGACATTTTAAGCTAAAGATCCTACAATAATCCAGAGAAGACAATCGCACAACCCCCTTTGAGCAAGAACGAGTTAACAGTGGGAACCAGAAAAAAAATCCCTTTTTAACATTAAGAAACCTTCAGCAGAACCAGACAGCCATCTGCTGTGACCAGTTTGGGGTGAGGGAAGGAAGATGGTACAAAAGGCACACAATGATAGCGATCAGTGCCCATGATAAGGTTGATTAAAGTATGGCCTGATAATAGTTATATTAGGCAACTGGACGGTAAAATTTCTGCTAGTAACTAACGGTCGGTTTCTGAGTGATGCATGATGAGTGAAAGCGGCTTAAGTCTGTTGCTTGTCTCTAGTGTCAGATAAAAGCAGATCTTTAACCTCTTTATAAAAAAAAAAAAAACAATACAGAACTTATGTTATGGCAACCAAAAGGCCATTTTTTTTAAGCAAGTAGGTGACTTTAGGGTGGCTATGTCAATCTTTCATGCCGTTTGTGGTGAGTCTAAATGAGTAAGGAACGCTGAAGTGCTCAGCATAATGAATAACCAATACTTGGCTAACCTAACACAGAACCGGCCACTTTAGTCTCTACAGACCCAGCTTTTAAAGTACACTTGTAATGAGACTTCTGACATTGTATAATGCGCTCTCGTACACAGACTGCTTCAGTCCTCTGTCCTCATCTTGTAATGTGTGGGCGCCAATTAGCCAGGCTATGTTTGTTATGAAACTGTTGAGCAGGTAATTGCTTGTAGGATGCTGACATGTTGGTCTTAGCCTTGCCGTTGAGGGATGATAGACTCAAACTTATGTATTTTTCCATTTGCGGTCAGAATAATTGCTCCGGGGTGTGCTTGCGGGGGAGAAGAAAAAATTGCATCCCCAGCCGCGTTTCTGCTGCAGAGATAAAGCGAGGCGAGCAGCTTGTTGAGCTGTGTGTGGATTCTTCTAAATTGTCTGGATGAAGAGACACTCATGTCTCGCGTCTCATAATCTCATTTCATTTATCGATCTCTTCTTCTCGTCCCCCTATTCTTCATCACTTTTCATCCGTTTCCTCTTTATACCTCTCTGTAGGACTCTTGATCTCTCGTCACATCTGCTCGTGTCTCCTTCTCTTTACCTCGTCTTCCTCTCTTTTTTTATCTTCATTTCTCAGCCATATGTTTGTCTCAATTGCCTCGCCGTCCCTTTTCTCTGTCTCTCGCCGGTCTGGGATCAGTGGCATCTAATGCTTTCCACTCTGGCTGATTAAGTCAGCACATGTACCCTCTTTTAAATTATCACTCACACACGTACACACTCATGCACGAGCGTCCCCACAGACCTAATCAGTCCTTCTCTTAGTTCTCTCTGTTTCTCTCACACCACTCCAGACCTAATGAAAAAACATGAGCTCTGCTAAAAAAGAAGGCGAGATGGACAGATGGGGGGGGAAAAAAAAAAGAGAAACACAAGGTAGCAGCAGCAATAATAAAGAAAGACAGAGCAGCAAGGAGACTAATTCGTTAACAAAGACACCAGTCGCTTTCGGTGCCCGCTTCCAGTTCAGAGATATTGTTTCCAGTCATAATGTCATGCAGCGGTGCAGTGGGAGGTGGGGTGGGGGGGTGCAGAGAGACAGAAAGGCAAGGTGAGACTGGCTGTGAGAGCGTTTTCAGTCCAGCTGCACTCTGTTAGACACTAAATGTTGTTCTGTTTGGCTAAATGCAGCTGTGCTGTGTTACATTATTCTACTCTCATTTGTATTGACCGCATAGCAGACTGCTTGGTGTGTGTGTGTGTGTGTGTTAGGGGGTAAGTGGGAGAGGTAGCATGTTGAGTGAATGATTGATACGGGACTTGGGAGTCTGCTGTGGAATGTTACTGTAAGTGTGTGTGTGAGTACTTGAGGGAGATGATGGGTTAAGTGAGTGAAGGTATGATTCTTCATTGAATGAAGGCACGCGCTCGTGCACGTGCGCATGCACACCTGATTATGGTGATGAAGTTTCCCGTCGGGAGTCTCTCCCGCTACAGTCCTCGAGTAGTTTAATGAGAAGCTGTTTCCGTAGTTACCAGGTGTGTGAGCCGGCAGCTCATAACGTCCTGCGGTGAAGAATAAAAGATGGCGAGAGAGAGGCGAAGGAATGAAAGTGGTTGAGGACGCCAGAGAAATGAAACAGAAAACACCCTGATATCTGGTGTGAATGATCAATTTAACCGTGTGTGTCTGTATTGATGTTTGTGCTCCAGAGGCTCGCTGAGGGCGTTGCACACGGCGAGCGGAGACACTGAATCTGTGTAATAAGCTAGAAGACCTTCAAATCGATCTCCATTTAAAGTGGTAGGAACAGCAAGGTGGGGCCAAGCTGTTAGGTTCTGGTCAGATCATATTAGGCATCTCTTGGGATGAAGTAAAAGCTTAAGAGGATTTTATGCAATGGGGGAAACATCCCTAGCTCAATAAGCACCTTTTATTTATTCTTTGTTTAAAAAATAAATAAATAAATAAATCTAGGGCGTCTGTCAGTTTCCTGTTTTCTCTAAAGTGGTAAAAAAAAATGTGCATATTTTAAGGGTTTGAAGCAGCTAAACAAGAAAAAGTTGGTGCTCTTCTCTTCCTGGAGTAACTCTCT